TAAAAACAAAAAACGTATCATAACAAAACAATAAACAATCACGTGATCTCGTGTTATGATACGAGATTTTTGTAAAATTATTTTCTAAAAATATTAAGTTTAAAAATTCCATATACATTCCGTATGATTAATTTTTTCCGTATACATTTCGTATACATCAGTTTTTTTAAAAAATGTTCAAAAATGAATTGCTTATTAAATATACGGAATTTGTATACGGAATCTATAAAAACGTACATAAAATGTATACAAAACGTATCCTTTCCATATACATATTTCTTATAGGGAAAATGAAAGTTACTAATACAAAAAATCAAATTACTCATTCATATTCAGTACTCATGAATAAACTTCTTCGTAGTTTAAATGTTCTTGCAGTATAGATTACTTTTTTCATATTTTCTATTCAAAGAATCAACATAATAACTATTCTATAATATTTGTACATAATGCAACATTAAGAATAAATATAATTGGTTTTAATAATGATGATAAATTACATTTACGAAATAAAGCTATTTAAGACGAATTGAATTAAAATGATTGAGGTTAATAAAATGAGAGAAATTCTAAAATTTAAATATTAAATTGATAAAAATTGCGTAACTTTTGAATATACAGTCGGACCTCTATATAATCACTCTCCATATTGTCACATCATATAAAATTCCTCTATATAGTCACCGATTTTTGCGGAACCAATTAGGTGACTATATAGAGGTCTGGCTGTACTTTTTGTGTCTATAGGCCATAGTTTAATGGCTAAATTAGGCTAGCATAATATAAATAAATCTTTAAAATGACATAATATGAAAAAAGATCTTTACGCGAAAATATATATTTTTAAGTAATTATTAAAGATACTGTATCGAGTAAACTGGAATATTTCGTAAATTGATCTCTCTTAATTAAATCATTATACTGAATTATTTATATATAATGAATTTTCTACGAGAAAAAAATAAAACTTTTGAGAAAAATTTTATTGTTTCAATGTACTACAAATACAAGAGTTAACGAACTTTCACGGTCAATTAATCCAAGGTTATGTAATTATTATATCCATTAATTTTTGTCAATATTAGTACATGATATTATAGCGAAAACTATTTATCTTATCCATGCAACTATCGGTTTTTTGAATTTGTTTGGTATTCTGTTTCAGTCCAGAACATGCAGTATATTGATTTTTGTCAACATTCAAGTTTAGTTTAATATTTTGTTAAAAAAAAATTAAAGTGCTA